AACTCAAACATATCCAGGTTAGGTTGAACCAGCTTCGTAGTACAGGCCTCTGGTCGGGACCAGGTTAGGTTGCAGGCTAAGAGCTCAACTCAGTGAAAGCACTGCATGCTGACCAATCAGAGCTCAGTGTGTGGAGTTTAAAGCGATCAAGTCATATTACAGGAGAAAGGAAATACAGAAAAGCTGCCGTTGCAGGAAAGACGGCCGGCAAAAATCACAGACTGTGTGAACGTGAACATTAATAGAATATCACCTCCCATCTTCAGAGCAATCTGACTATTATAACATTAGCGTTAAGAAAGCTTACTTAAATATCTGCCACAAAATAAGTAACCGGATCAGAGTAACATTAAGTACAGTCCGCGGCATATCACATCATAATGTATCATATATTTCCTTATCTGAGTCAGCTGAGCCGTATCTGGCCGTGCAACACTCAGTGTCACATACTGTATGCAGAAGTATTATTTTAAGCAACACATTAAGTTGATGAAACACTCGAGACAAATGTAATTAAAGTCAGATTGTGTCTTGGACGGGACAGTGATATCATAAACCTGTTAATGTACGCATTCAAACACTTTTTCTGTTACCAGCTGTATTCACCTTGCAGGTGCAGCTATGTGGCTTTTATCCTGGATAAAGTGTTTAAGTCATGGATGTTTAAAGTTTAACTTCTTCATATGTCTAATATTATAGTTGACTTTTCATTCAGGAAGTATGACGCTGCGCTGTCAGTATGCTTCTCCATGTCTGTGATTGGTTGAATGCTCCAAATACCACACCTTTCATGTGAACGCGCACCTAACTAAATAGGACACGGCTGGCTTGAGCGATTCACTTGATAACCCGCGTCGTAGTACCGTTTAGCGAGAGCGCGTATGTTTTGGATTAGGCCAACCGGCTAACTCAAACATATCCAGGTTAGGTTGAACCAGCTTCGTAGTACAGGCCTCTGGTCTAGACTATACGTTCAGCTCCCCTGTTGTTTAAACCTCTGGCGACCTCAGGAACTTAGGAAGACAGTGGCATGGTGGATATCAACTTTAAAAGAACAGAGCCATTGCTTGAACCAGTTGGGAGATAAATGTTTTTTGGCAACTCGAGCAAAGGCATGTTCAGATATCGACACACAAACCATGATATGAGTGGCTGCTTCCCTTAGCTGCAGTCTCGTAAAAGCAAAAACATTCAGTGGAACATCAGACCAATTTTTTGCCCTGCATTTTGGAGAAAAGGCTGCTTTGCATTAAAAGTATTTTTCCCAAAAACGACTGAGAGACAACTGTGACATCTGGTTTCCTTTTGAAAGTGAAGTGTCTTTATGAACAGTCCGTGTGTCAGCAACAGATACACAGAGCCAATCCCTCTCTTGCTCAATACTATTCACAGCTTTACCAGCAGGACACACACCCAGTGACCTCTTGTCCCACATGAAAGGCACTTTGCATCCTTAACAGGGCACTCATGCCATCGGGTTTGTATCAGGAGCTTTTTGGAGTTTTGCTCTGACCGCGTCTGGCTGTGCTGATTTGTCTTACAGTTATGATGGGTTATGGCTTTTCCTTTTTTGATGTGAGCCTTTAAACACTGTCCACAGACCTGGCATATATCTGCTTAGCAATGCTTGCTTCACTCTACTGCTGCTTATTCATCTCTTCTAAATTATGTATTTTCTATGTCTAGATTTTACTCCATTAGCATGCATTCTGAGAACCGTATATTAGCCAGTCCTATCACAATCCTGTCCCTGATAAGCTTGATATGCATCATCAGTGCGGAGCTAATGCATACTGGTGTGTTGACTGGTGAAAAATACATCCACAGTCTCAAATGCTTTTTGCTTCCGAACGAGCAGGTTTGTAAGCAATGCACATTTCATTACAAAAAAAGCCATTCCTCGTTGAAGGGTATTGTTACTGGTCTGCATCACTGAGTTTCAAGCTTCAGTAAACATCATCAGCTTTGTCTCCAATACAATAAATCACTGAATTCACCTGATTCTCTTTGGAGCTGGCTGTAACGCTGCTTGATATGTAGAAACTATTGAATCTCTGTATCCATTTAGCCCACTTGTGCAGCACAGAAAAAGAAAAGGGCTCCTCTGGCTCAATGTGTAACATTGCGTTGAATACTACAACAGTAAACAAAGTGTTCAACTCAATCCAGTCTTAACAAAAAGCCTGAGGTTTTCAGTCTTGACAGAGCTAGACGGATACAAATAAAAGAAGAAAAAAACCCGCAAGCAAGATAAGGGAGTCACTGTTTTCTGGCTACAAAATGACCACCATGTCAATCCACAACATGTTGACATTTACACATACAGTAGAGAGACACAAGATGTTTTTCTTGTTAATTAGTTATCTCTGGAATTATTGGTGAGTGAGTTTTCTAAAATTCTGACAGTGCCTGCTAGCGGTATACCCCTGATTCTAGTCTTTATGCTAAGCTATGCTAATGTTTAAGTTTACCATGCAGACTTTGACTGATGCTTCAGTTATCTAACTGTTGACAAGAAAGTTGTTCTAGCAAATTTCACAAAATGTGAATGTGCCCTTGTTACGGCTGCTGCCTTCCTGGTCGTCTGAGTGTTTTCAGCTGTGTGTGTTCTATGTAAATGAGCTGTGTGGTTGCCCTCCCGTCATTGGCTGCCATCTCCTGGTCCGCCCCTGAAGATTGCGATTGGAGCACGCCGGGCGCGACGCACTCCAATCGCAGCGCACAGCCGTGTAAATTACATGGAAAAGCTCAGGAAGCAGTTGCGGCTCTCACGTTAGAGGACAGCCTACAGTATGACTCAGTGAAGGTTGCCATCCTCAGAGTGTATGAGTTAGTCCCTGAAGCTTACCGGCAGAAGTTTAGACACCATAGGAAGGGTCCTAATCAAACTCACGCCGAGTTCGCCAGAGAAAAGGGAATGTTTTTTTCTAAGTGGATTGCCTCATGTAATGCTACTGATTATTCTTCTCTGAGGGAATTGATTATGTTGGAGGAGTTTAAGAAATGTTTGCCTGATCGCATTGTTATGTACGTGAATGAACAAAAGGTAAACTCTCTCTCTGCTGCTGCTGTGTTAGCCGATGAATATATGTTGACTCATATATCTGTGTTTTCCCCTGTTTCTACTGAGAGGTCCCGCCGTGTGTCAGCCGCTCCGTTTACTCAGCCGTTAGATGTGACTAACGTGAACAGAGAAGAGAGAGAGTGTTTCTATTGTCACCAACCTGGACATGTCATTTCCAACTGTATGATTCTGAAGCGTAAAGAACAGCGGCAGAATATGTACGGCCAAATAGCAGTGGCCTGGTTACACACACATGCACACAGGCAAGTAAAAGTGACTCTGATGTCTCATTGTCTGAGCCTGTGTTTGTGCCGGTGCCTTCAGATGAAGCTGTGTCCGAGGAGAAGCCAGAAATTGTGGTTTCCCCTCGTGAGGATGTCGGGAGACCAGCGCATCAAGCCGGCTCAGACAAGCCTCTCGACTTTTCGACTCTCCCGGTAACACGAGAGCGTCAGCTAGTTTATCGGATCCTAGTGTTGGTGTTAGCTCTGCAACATGTTAAGATTCATGTTGGACCCAGCCTTTGGCCAATTGTGGTGTTTAGCCTTTACGATCCCTTCATATTCTGCCCTAGCGTGTCCAAGCACAATCAGCGTCTCATGCAATGGGCTCTGATTGTGCAGGACTACAACAGTAGACACCCATCATTAAAGGGCTCAGAGAATGTGTTGGCCGATGCTTTGTCCAGGTTGAGTTTGTGATGTTAGTGTGTGTTATTAGGCAGGTTGCGTTTGTGATGAGTGTGTGTGTTATTAGGTAGGTTTGTCTAGTGATGTTAGAATGTGTGTTATTAGGAGTTTTGTTAGTGTGCTTAGGTTCACAAAACCTGTGGGTTTGTGTCTTAAGGGGGGGAGTGTTACGGCTGCTGCCTTCCTGGTCGTCTGAGTGTTTTCAGCTGTGTGTGTTCTATGTAAATGAGCTGTGCGGTTGCCCTCCCGTCATTGGCTGCCATCTCCTGGTCCGCCCCTGAAGATTGTGATTGGAGCACGCCGGGCCCGACGCACTCCAATCGCAGCGCACAGCCGGCGCACACCTGCTGGAGATTACTACAAAGCTTGGGGACAATGATCACTCAGGAGGCTCTGTTGAGTGAACAGACGCCTCTCGCTACTTGCTCCTTAGTGAATTCTGTTGAACTGTGGTTAACCTTGTGTGATTAGTTAGTGGTTAGAGTAGTTTTTGATTCTGTGATTGTCGCCTTTAGTTTAGCTGTGTTTTGTATAGATTCTTTGGTTAGTTGTACCACTTTTAAAGTGAGGTTTTGTTTCGTTCTTTATATTATTTATTTTCCCTGTATGCCATTAGACTCCTTTTTTAGAGTCCTCATTTTGTTGGGTTATCAACCTGTGCCCTTTTGGCCCTTTTGTTTGTTCAGGCTGCACGCCTTCACTTTTGTTTCACCCTGTTCTGTAATAAAACCACTTATAATTATTACCAATTACATACTGGTGTGTGTTGCATTCCTCTTCCCCTAGTTGGGACGTAACAGCCCTAAACAAACACAATTAGATGACAAGATGGATAAAATCACAATGTGCTCATAACATTAACTTCAGCCAGCTGGTGGTTAGCTTAGTCTAGCATAAAGACTGGAATTAGGGGAAACCACCAGCTGGCACTGTCAGAATTTCTCAAAATGCACTCACCAACACCTCCAAAGTGAACTGCTGGCTGTAAGTTAATGTTTACTCAACAGACATTGAGAGTTGTATCGGTCTTATCATCTAATTCTTGACAAGAGAGTGGCTAAGCATATTTCACAAAATGTCAAACTTGTACCATAAACAAGTAGAGATTACACAATATGTTGCTGTCAACACAATGAATGTCTCTGCCCGATCAAACACATGCACTTTTCATACAATTCATTATCCCAGTCTGCACAATTAAAATACATATTGATATACTGAAATCAACAAAGCATAACAAATCTTACTTAGTGCCTGGGTCTGCGACGAGGACATCATCTTGAAGCAGATTAATTGCAGTTTGTGTTTTTCCTTTCCAAAGCAGGCTTGTGGCCCGTAGTCTCCTGGGTAAGCCTGGATCAGCCCGTGACAGAAAATATAACAAATAAATTATGTTTTCTTCTTCTATCTATCCTGCTCAAAGAAAACACATTTGATTTGTTCTGATGGTTATGGTCATGATGACTTTACCGTTACGTGACAAATTCAGTTCTCAGAACGTTATTATGTTCAGGTTTGCTACCTGGATGAAACACGGACACAGGTTGGGATACATAAAGATGATTATTTTTCCTTAGCCTAAATAAGATGAACAGATAGATGGGTTGGAAAGTTGGAGAGATGATGACATGCAGCAATGTGCCACTGTTAGTATTCATCAGTCACGGCCGCTACAGATGGGACTATGCCAATATTGAAAGACTTATAATTGTCTTGTCCTTGGAGATTCTCTCATATTTTATTCATATTCATTTCAAAGATTGAAAGCCTCTTCAGATAAGCAAGTGCCTGTTTGTGAATGGCAACAGAAACTCTTTTGCAGAGTCAATATATGGATGCAACTGCTGAAAGACTCGAGCAATAAAAGTACCTGAAATTCAGCTCAGAAACCTAATGCTTAATTTCACATATCCGTTGCAATCTCTCAATACAAACTAGAAGATTGTTTCATGAGTGAGTATTAACATATGTTAATAATGTATACTATTATTATTATAGTTAGTTATAACCAATTATTTTCTCAAATAGTTGATTGATTGCAAACTATTTGATATACTATATGAAATGTTTGGCATAATGTGCTTAAATATGACCTTAACAATGATTGGAAAAGTTGCATGATCATTTTCTGTTGATTGACTGAATTATATAAATTATTTGACTGATAGTTTTAGCTCTAAAATCAATAAACAAAAGCAAAATCTTTGATCCTCTTAAACAAGAAACTGCAACCTGGATGTTAACATTTAACAAGCTAAAAAAAAAAAAACATATATCACAAGCCTCTTCTTCTTATTCGTCTTTTATTTAAATGTATTTTTGTATACAACTCTTAACTTTCATAGGTCAGCTCCTGAAGGTTTAGATGTGTCCAAACCATAGACTGTATCCAAACCTATATATATATACAGTCTATGGTCCAAACACTAAGACCTAAGGGACATACAGTACAATATGTGCATGCATCTCAATGCCTTGTGTTATATCCATAGACTGGTTATATCACAGAGGCTGGCTCTCTAACCCTTTGTATTTACCTGAGAGCTGGCTGGCCATCCTGCGCAGAGTGACTGAGGAGGAGCGGATCTGAACCTCCCCACTGTCAAGAAATATCAGACCGTCTGTCACGTACTTCAGCTCCGAGTCCCGCGACTTCCCCAGGGGGTTTTTGATGGTAAAGTTCTCCACGTATTTCTCCAGAGGGTCATCCAGGGAGCCAATCTTCCCGTCCTCCCACAGTTTGTACAGCATCAAGGTCGGGAAGATTTTGGATAGGCTTGCAATTCTGAAAAAGAGATAAAGGAGTAACGTGATTGTTTTTTTTTTATCTGACAGAACACATTTCTTTATATTTCGCACACTGCTTTTGTTTACTGCAAACACTGAACATGCAAACAAATATTGTCTGCTATACTTTTGCCATTGATGCAGACACATACAAGTAGTTCAGTACAGGATCAATAATTGGTTACAAAACAAATCGGTAACACTTTATATTAAAGGTGGGGTAGGTAATTTTGAAGAAACCAGTTCGAGTGCGCTAGAATTTGAAAATACACAACCTGAAAAAATCTGCCACTTCCTTACAGAGCCCCTCCTCCAACACACACGAACGCGCACATGACCAATGAGGGCACGAGATAAGTTTGTGCACAGATGGAAGGCTGACAGGCAGGTAGGCCATCCAGTTATTTTAGCCGGGCCGGCTAAAATGATTGGTCGTGCTTTTTACAGCACTACGGCTTCCACAGATGAACATTTTTTTAATGGATTTTTTGTCAAAGCACTTAAGATATAAGTGTTAATTGTGTCTAAATAACTCAAAATTAGATATTTATATCTCAGAATATGTTTTGGGGTATTGACAGTTCAGCTACCAATAGCAAGGTGATATTGACCTGTATGTTTCATATTTGCACATTTATATTTTTGTAAATTTGTACTGAAGGTTAGACAGGAAACCGGGTACAGGAAGTAGGAGAAAGTGAACTGAATAGCATGGCAGTCCTTATTATACATCCATGATGGCAGTAGACATCGATGAGTAGACTGCTATGTTCCCTATTACATTACATTACATTGCATTTAGCTGGCGTTTTAATCCAAAGCGATTTACAATAAGTGCATTCGACCAAGAAGATACGAACTTGAAGAAAACAGAATCATATAAGTACATCAGGTTTCATAGAGCCAAAACATTTCAAGTGCTACTCAACTGGCTTTAGATAAGCCAGTCCTTTATTAGTATATACGTGCTTTGTTAGCAATTCTTTGTTAGTAATTATATCGCTCGAAGTGGAGTCGAAAGACTTTTACTCTGCAACCTGAAGAGTAAAAGGGTCAATTCAGTCAGAAAGCAATGACTGTAAGTGTAAGTTTAAGCCTTGAACTTACACTGTAAGGATTAGTAACATGTATTGTGTTTATGTGATGACATTTGGAGATGTTTAAACACAATGAGAAAATGCGTTAGCATTCGCACTAGCGTTAGCATACACGATAGCGTTAGCATACACGGTAGCTTTAGCATCAAGCGGCAAACTGTGGGGTAGAGCCGGGAAGCCAATACGGAAGTGCCACACACTGCAGTTCATATATTGGCCGATAGGCGATGGCTGCAGAAAGGAGCAATTTCCATAGACCCCCATGTTAAAATGCCCAACTTTACAGCAGAAAAAAACATGTTTCTACCCCTGGCTCCATACATTTTATTATCGATATAGTTAGATTCCACCTTCATGATTATGGATCTGTGAGTGAATTGTTTTCTAACGCGACCCTTTTATTTATATTAGGTCTTAAAGTTTGTGCATAAAATAGGGCGTGGTCACATTGAGTGACGGCTCTGTCAAGTGCCTGCCGCTGTTAGCTTCTTGTCTCTCTGCTAGCTGCTCCGTGAAGCTAGCTACAGGGACTCTGCCTGCTCAGAGTTCATCCAGGAAACACAACTTGTAGCCGGCCGTGGTTGTTTGTTCTTCATGCTTATATATCGGACTATTGTGACTCGCTCTGCGGTTAAAACAGACGGTGCATGAATGCGGTTTTGTGGTAAGTGAAATTCTAGTGCTTTATTTATGTATTAATGATTTTAATCAGCCACGTAATGAATGGTAAGGCTTGGGTTAGCATGTAAGCTAGTGGTAGCTACATCGGTGCTAACGATTGTAATCGTAGCCTCCAAGTTAAAATCATAGACCGTATATATAAAGGTTACAACGAAATAGACAAGTGTTAAGTGGGATAATACTGTTGAACAAACGGCTTCTGTTTGAGGTTGATACAATAAGGTTACATCCTTGTAACTTAGAGATATTTTATTATGTAGGTAGAACTGTATGCATCTAAGGTTAATTTAAATTGGCTATGCTCAAGTATGTAGACAAGCTAATGTCGAAGTAGTGTATGTGAAATCAACCTCACAATAAGATGTGTGTATATTACAATTATTAATGTCATATTTCAAGATGATTACTTAGATATTACAATATGGTTGGTTGAGCTGGAGTTCATTATTGAGCTTACACGTTAACGTCACAGTCATCTGAAGAACGAACCCAAACCTTGTTGTTTTTATTAATTGCATTACCAAATGGGTATCAAATAAACAGTAAGCATTGGTAACACAACTTCCAAAGTTACAGTAAAATAAAAAGGCCCCTGACTCGGACAATACACAATCCAACATGTTCAACAGAAGAGAATCAGTTATATTGTTTGTACACATGGTACTTTATATATATACATACATATGTACTTTATATATATATATACATACATATGTACTTTATATATATATATATATATATATATATATATATATATATACATATGTACATGTGTACAAACAATATAACTGATTCTCTTCTGTTGAACATGTTGGATTGTGTATTGTCCGAGTCAGGGGCCTTTTTATTTTACTGTAACTTTGGAAGTTATATATATATATATATATATATATATATATATATATATATATATCTGTTTGTTTAAGGTGTCCAGGTGATGCAGACAGGCTGGACCAGAGAGTGAGAGACAGAACTGGACTCCTCACAGCAGTGAACTTCAACACAGGTACAAAGACTCTTTTTTCATACTGTACAAAGAATCAAGAAAGATATTGGTTTAAATGAATGAAGTATTGACTTGAATACACTGATATACATTCCATTAAACAATACTAGATCACCTACACATCAGTTAAGTTGAGGGTTTTTTCCATGCAAAAAGTTACATTTAGATGATAACAAGCAATATGACTTTGTCAGCTTTCTAATTTAATGTATTGAAGGCAAAGATATTTAACACATAGTGAGAACTGCTATTATTTATCTCTCAATATTGTCTGTAAAAAACGTGGTAAAAGTTATTCTTTCAGTGAGACAACAGAGCAAGCTTCTACAGTTGCACTACGTTTTGATAACAGTTTAATATTATTTTGATAATAACATATATTTCAATGTTGATGAACTTCATACTGTTCATTCATAATCTGATTGTCTTTGTAGCTCATTATTGAAATAAAAAAAAACATTACAATTACAAAATAATTATATCTACAGCCCCTAAACACACAAACACACCTCTTTCATAAATAACACACTTGTTCTGCAATAATACGTTTTATGTTTCCTGTCATTTTTGTTAGGAAAGGACATGCCTGAAAGACAGGACATGTTCTCCTTCTCTGAGGGTCAAGAAGAACATCCAAGAGGAACATTAAAAGCTGATGTTATGAGATTTTAAGACCAGTACAGGACATTCACTAAGAAACTACTTTTATTGTAAAAACAGTCAGCTGATCGAATGCAGCTATTTCCACATCTACACTCCATCAGCTGATTATTTCTATTTGCCTCACTTTATGAGCTTCACAACATGTACCTTGTTTTGCAACGTCACAAATAAATGGGGCCAATCTTCAGTCAGATGTGAATGTGTAATCTAACATTTTCAGTAAGAATAATGGACAAAAGGAGTGCAAATACAAATACAATTTATTGAAATGTGAACCAAAAGTTAATCAAATGTTTTAAATATAAAGCACATATGGACAGAAGGTGTAAACCTATTAAATGTATTAAACACATTTAGTCAAATAAAGTGACCGACTAGGCCTGTGCAGTTGGTATCAGCTTTGCCCAGCATGGGCTCCTTCATCAGCCCTGGTCCTCCTCGCAGAGGAAAGACCCTCAGTCCTCTCCAAACCAACAGACAGGACGTCCATCACACTGAGGTTTCTCCCTGAAGTCTCTGCAGCTCTCTGGACACCAGGCTGTCTCAATCCGTCCACACTGAATATGAGATTGGGAAAATGAAAATAATAAATGCTTTAGACAATAAGAAACATAAAGTTGACTGTTGAGTTGCTCAGTTTTTTTAGATTGTCAATACTATTACTGTATAACTAATATCTCAGGTTAAGAGGCACATTCAAATAAAGATTGGTCTTTAAATACATTTTGTCTTTTGAATTGTTTGTCTAAAGTCAAGGATCTATAACTGGTACTTAGTTTTAATGATACAGTCTGGTTATTATGCTGTTTGGAGGAGGCCTCACAGGTAAGAGCGCTAACTAGCTACCATCACATGTACCTTAGCTTGACTTAAATGTATTAAACGTATAGTTAAGTGATATCAAAATATAAATAACTAATGTCATGCAAACATATTAATATTTGCTTGATTCCAGTGTTGAATTTAGCACAATTGCATACAAACGTTAAGGGGTTTTAAGATTCTGAAGTATTATGCTAAAAGCTCAATAACTTAGATTATTATTTATAGTTTTGCTGAATAGTTTCATATCCGCTTACCTTAGAAACGTAAAATGCGACGGCAGCGTGCAGATGGGGAGCATGTTAGCTTAGCTTGGTAGCTTCAGCTAGCTCTGGAACTTCCAGCTAGGTGGCAGGAGGTCCCGCCTCGGCTCCGCCTCTTTGCCCTTATTTGGAGCAGGCGGGAGTTGAACTCTGGCGTCACTGTCGAGCCGTTAGTGGCCGACTCCGCCTACTAAGGGCTTCACGGAAACTCTGCAGAATCCTATGGGTGAAGTCACGGACCCTACGTCCATTTATATATACAGTCTATGTTTAGCATACACGCTAGTGTTAGCCATACTAGCCTAGCCTGTATACATGCGTATTGCACAGCTAGCATATTAGCTATATTTACCTTGTTTACACTTAGCGGTCCCATGTGTTAATCTGTGTATGTTACACTTGCTTGTATTAAGTGCCTTGTAACTTATTTTTTGTATAGTTTCACTCCGTTTGAATGTCAGGAGCA